GCAATATTGCATCGATACACGGACAGCAAGTATAAGATATTATATAAATAGCAAATAAATGTGAAACTTTTGGACTGAATAAGCAATTAATTATATTATTGAAGATCCAAAAATTTCACATTTATTTGCTATTTATATAATATCTTATACTTGCTGTCTGTGTATTGATACAATATTGCCATGCAAAATATCACGATAATACGATTTCTGCCCCCATCTCTAAAGCCTGGCAAGGTTAATCCTTTGACAGATCCTGTATGTACCTAAATTTTTAGGTTTAAAAAAAATAAAAAATACAACAACTCATTGGTACATCTGCTACCTGAGTTCTAGACAGACCAGGATACACTCCCTGTTGACCTACATGGACAGCTGATTACGGGACTTTTCTGACAACAGCACTGCTAAGTTCTTTGATGTCTTCAGGATCATCTCACAAACTGCCAAAACAGTCATCTACTTAGATGCTTGCTGTGGAAAACTCGTCAAAGACAGAACCATAGCCAGGTAAAGTGTAGATTGAAGTATTAAATATAAATACAGAAACTGTTCTGGGAACATTTGGAAAACTAAGATAAGTATTTTTGTTGCGTCATACAAATAGCCTTGCTCAAACACTGAAGGACGGGAATGTTTACCCAGCAAAGCTCACTCCTTATTAGCAAACACTCTCCTCATCATACAAGAATGACTCACAATTTTACACACACTCAAGCTCATGACTGTAACCAGGCCAACACAGATGAAACATGGGAGGAGCACTACAGGACCTGAGTTTTGTTTCTGTATATTGAGAAGGCTCACACTGATTAAATTACAGTCATTTAAATAAGTTATAAATAAACCCACCCTGACTGTGGTACTAACATCATAAGAATAATTTGGCACCTGGATTACAGAAAATACATCTTTTGGGACCATATATTAAAAAAGCAGAAGAAAAAAAGAAAATCCACACTGCAACCTGCACTTCATCCGATGTTAATTCTAAAATATTCTGTAGACAACAACTGCACAGAACAAAACCTAGAACGTACAGCAAGACTTCACTCTTGTGGTGAATGCACGTTACTGCAGTAACAATCCAGCTGTTGCCTGTTCTCCGCTTTTCTACCGGCTTTCAGTGTTTGAGATAAACTCTTCTGTTAGTTGTGACAACAATGTATGTAGACACCCTGCCTTCTATTTACTAACATGGTAGAGACTAGGGATAGGCATTTCAGTCAAATCTAAAAACCCCACATGGACCAAGAAAAAAAAAACCTGGATGTTTCATTTGCATTGCAGCTCAGTTTAACGTATCGTTCTGAAGAAGTCCTGATGCACTTAGATGGCTGCAGTAGCCCTTCATTGTTTCCTTCACTGGACTGAACAGATTAGAACCTCTCTGACCAAAACGTATAATGTAGGCACCACACTGCCCTCTGGTCTTCAGATAAATCATGGTTCTTCAATATGACAACGGGTAACATTAGACAGAATCTGACACTTTGAGGCGATATTAAGATTCTTGGGAGACACAGATTTCATTACTTTATAGCTACACTGGCCTAGTAGCTCTAGCACAAAACTAAAAAAGTAAACTTTGAGCACCAAACAGATCCTGGCTCGCTCATTTCATTTGTTGTAATTAGGAAATCATGTTCATTTGATTTTTTGAGTGAAACATTCCTTTAAAATCCTACACTATTTTTTTTTCTGTCATAAATTATGTTGTAGCTAAGAGAAGGATAAAGAAACAGTTGTATGTATTGTACTCAACTGCATCAATTTACCTCGTCCTGAAATCCAGCCAATTCAGCACCCCACGTGTTATGTGCTCTTCACTGCTAACTCATGCACAAGACTTCTGAATGTGTAACAGCACTGAAACAGCAGGTGGCTTTCATCGCTTACAATGCATTACTTTCCATTTTACCATCAGGTTTCTGTTTTCTGCGTTTTTCTTCTCTCACGAGAAACAAATAACAACCAGAGAGAAAATCACTATGTACTCCAATTTTTAAGAGGCCTCTTTGTATGGGTTGTTACTGCTTCATAGGAAGGAAAATTAATTAAAGTGTGGTTCATTTCACTGTAAGCCTACATTAAACTGAAACAGACAGTAGAGCAGAAAAACACATGTTCCAACTAATTCAGCTCAGTCATGTGCCATGGCCACATGTTCTTGTGGATACTGTGGATGATGCAGAGTGAGCAAGTTATAGATCTGAGGATTAAACTCTTCTGGATAACCATCCAAAAAAAGAGTCTGAACAGGACAGGGAGGAGGATGAGAGAGGGAAGAGAGAGAGTGTGTGTGATGCAGTCTGTTTGATGGGGGGCCACGTTGGCACTCTCAGTCTCTTCCTCCACGACTGTATTAGTCACTAGCACTAATCCACACAAGGACATATTCAATGGCTATGCTGACTTCTGCTCTAAAACCTGCACTATTTGACTACACTGAGCAAAATGGACTCAGTAAAACAGACCGCCATGAATCATATTTTTAGAGTTGCGCAATATGAGTTTCAGCAATTAACATATTGTTAAGGGTCGCGATGACAGACTGGATCAAATTACCACACACACACGCACGCACACAAAGTGCCAAGGTGACATAATTAGATTGGCAGGAATGTAGCATCAGAAACAAAGAAAGAGCTTTCCTGTAGTGACATTGAACCCTGCTTTCCAACACTGAGAGCAATTAACCATTCAGCTATCTGGCCAATTGAAAAACACACACATACGCACAACTCAAAAAATGCTCTATTCTAAACTACCAACCTGTGATTCTGCTTTAAACTTGATGATTATTCTTACTCTAAGAGTTGTGTGATAAGAATGTAAAACAGTAATGGCTATTGTCACAACAAACCTGCATCACCATAAGGAGCTTTCAATGAATATATATGTATTTTTTGTAGACCCACATAGAAAATAACACATTAACAAATGAGTCAAATCAGGTGTGACTGAGCAGGAAGGAAAAAAAATGCATCACCAAATTGTGCCACAGACCGGACCACAATTCAAGAACAGTTAACTGTTTTTCAGCCTTACTCAACACAAAAAATGTTCTCATGTAAACAGATACTAGGGGTATGGGAAAACATCGATTCTTAGATGCATCGCGATGCAGACGTGGACGATTCTGAATCGATTCATAAATGTCAAAAATCGATTTTCTAAATATTTAATTTATAACGTAATGTTGACGGAACGCAAAGGGCGGAACCTGGAAGTGGGTAAGTGCAGCGCCCGGACAGTCTAAAAGAACACAACTGGATGAGCGAGAAATCCGACCGGCTCCCTCTGCTTTAAAAGCTTAGGTCAGGAGTCACAACTCAAATGTTAAGAAGAGCCATTTTGTCCTTTCAACAAAAATCAAACCACCTTGGGAGCCGCAACATTTATGTCCAGTATGTCTCAGTATGTGTTAATGTCCTAGTTTAGGCAAAAAAATATGAACGAAAATGCAGACTTACTCTACTCTGCTTTAAGCTTTAGCTACAGCTGCTTTTCTTCCGTCTCCGCCAGAAAACTTTTCCTCAAAAGTTGAATAGTTTGTTGTAAAATGTCTCTCAGCATTCCGCTGTTTTACGAGGCTGAAGTCGCTTCTCACTCGCCAGCTTCTTGCTGAACTTTCCCGTTCCACCTTAAATTCTGACTGAGGAAAATTAGAAAGGGAAGCGTCTTCATCTTCGCAACTTTTTAGTGTTTGAGAGTCTCTCATTGCAGATTTAACGTATCAGGAAACTGTGCTGCTTATAAATGCGAATAAGTCCATTCATCTCCAAATGTTCGTCTGTCTTTCTCTTTTCCTTTTTCGTTCGCTACTCACTCTGTGATAAAATGCGCTGTTATGGTAAAATAAGATCCAGTGGTAATGATGACCACGCAGCACATTATATAGTCTTTAGTGATTTCATAACTTCGGTATTGGTCTCGTGATAGAGGGGGGGGTGGCCAAACAAGAGCAGTGAATGAGAGCCTTCTAGTTCACTTGCCACATCACTTCCATTTGTTTTATTAATAAAAGATATTGGAAGTAAATTCATTATGGATCATTACAAATACTTTGTTTTAAAACTACCAAGTCCTCAGACAGTAGTAGTAGGAAATAGAAATCATGTATAGAAGAAAAAAAAAAGATGCATCGAGATGCATCGATAATCGTTTTATAATCGCATCGCAGCCCTCTGAATCGTAATTGAATCGAATCATGAGGTGCCTAGAGATTCCCACCCCTAACAGATACTAGTACTTCATTTTGGTTTTTTTTACACTGTTGTGAATAATGTTTTCTAAATCGTTTGTTTTTTGCCGTTTGCTCAAAGATGAGTTGTTTCCACAAAAGATACACTTGTTCCGCATCCAGTGAGAATCACACTATTTTAATCATATTTTATTGCTTCCCATATCATCATAGTGACATCCAACAGATTTATCTTTCATCACAATTTATGGTCATTTTGTGCAGCCTTATTAGCTAAAAAAAACAGGACACATGTTAGAGATGTGAGAAATGCTTGCCTTATCTAATGTGCTACAATAAAAGCATTCTTGTATTCATGCATTTTTGTTTTGTTTCCACCTCTTTTTGTGTTTATTAATGGATAAAATGTTTACCTTATGCCAATTGTATTGTGCTTATTCTAGGCTTAGGTTTAGTCTGGGTTTGGGACACCAGCTCTCTATGTTTTACATTTATGTATTTATGTAAAAACCCAAAACAACAACAAAACAAAAACTGTCTGGAGGAGAACAGGCTTTTCTTTCTTTTTCCCCCCCCCCACAAGACAGTCAGTGACTTGAGGTGAGGTTGGGTGATTTCATGTATAATGTGTGTTCCAGGTACAAGGGTCTCCATGTGTGTATTTGTCACATATGGTCAAAACCTTTCAGTAAGAAGGACTGGAACAGTTGAGTTTGCGTTAGGCTAAGTCAGTAGAGGTAGAAACTGTGTAATTCTATGCATAAAATAAACAAGTATGCTTTCTGAAGCTTTTTACCATGATGAGAATGACGTTTCTCTGGGGTCACACAGTTCCCTTCTTCATCCTCCTCCAGCCTGGCGAGGCAGGGTCCACACTTGGAAGAACCAGGTGTGCAGAACTGCCGGCCCACTCTGGCACAGTCAATATGGTCAGGGCAGTTATCCACTACAACACACAAAACACAGAAATGGTACAGCTAAATTACAATGTAAATATGTCTATATCAATTCTGCTCTAATGAGGAAATAATTAGTGCCTTCTACACAGTTTACAGGTCAATGCACCACCTTCACAGAAAAGTAAATACTGGGTATACAGCAGCAGCGAACTGAGACTATTAAAGCTAGAGCTTCTGTTTTGGCTATGAACATCAAAACAGTTTTGACAGTTTTCCATTTATAACATTTGAGCTGTGGGAGAGCTATATAACAAGTAATGGAGTGCATTTTTAAATGAAGTTCCATATTTACATTGCTGCCTGAGATGGTCCTTCTCTCAACTCTGAAAACTGATCTGTAAATGTCCACATTTCATCTTTATAACTAATGCTAGAACGGTTTGTGCTTTAGATATGTAAGCACATTCTTTGTATACCAAAAGAAATATTTGACTGTGATGGTGCAGGTTCTATTCAGAATGAAGTAGGCCTAACTCAGTAGCATACAGCTTCTGTAGCACTGCCTACATGGCAATACTTTTGATATCCTTGTTATTCTTTAATTAGAAAATCTGTAAAATGCATTTGAGTATACAATACAGTCTCACAACATCAAACAAATACAACCATAATTATTGACAATGAATTAGGCAACATTCCCTAATGGGAAGTACAAATTGATGTAATTTGTATAATGTAAATAGCTACTTGACTATTTAGTACACCTCACATATAATCCCATCCCACCAAGGGGTCAAAAGATGATGGTCTGTGAGTGGAGATCTGCCATTTTCCACCATTCTAATCACAGTACTACACACTATTAAATGCCTTAAAGTCTCTGAACCTGTCAGAGTGGCTACAAACTGAAGCTTCTCCTGTCTGTTTCCAAAAACAACCCGAAAAGGACATGTGGTCTGTAAACAGAATCATTAACAGCGCATATCTGTCCAGATATCACACAAATATACGAATGCACACACTGACTGAAACGTCATCGTAACAAAGGGAATTTATTTGAAGGTCAAACAAACTAAAGAGTGACCTGCTGCATAAGGCAGCCTTGCCTTTCAGTAATGGCTAAGCAAACACAACAGATCTCTATATCAGCAGACGAAACCATACAAGTGTACATGCTGGTTAAAAGGAAAACTTAAATGGCAACATAAGTGTGATACCGGATCAGAGCTGGATGGTCACATGGAAGGCAAAGTTTTAGAGCGACAATAACTCCAAAAACTAATGATCTAAACAGACCATACTGGAAAATTCAGGGTGAGCAAGTTAGCATTAAATGTCTGAGTTAATCATACTTGCATTGACACAAAATTTGGACTTAATTAAATGTAAAAATGACCAAAAAAAAGGCTTTATCATTTAAAATGCTTTGATGGGAACAAATGACACTTTTTCACCCATCATGTTTGTGTACTTCTCAGGAAAGTGCTGTAAAATGTTTGTCTTAACAAATATACAGTACTACTGCTTAAAAGAAGTGTAATGGTCAACCCCCTTCACGGTTCGGGACAGTCCTCAGTTTCTGGGCTGTGGTTTGGTTTGTATCACGGTTCACCATGGAAAAATGTACCCAACTTTGAACAATTTTTTTTAAAAATTACACACAAATTTAATGCAAGATGTGCAAATACAAAACACGAGCCTTTTCAAAAAGAGAATTACATAACTTCTGTTTAAATATTCTTCTTTTACAAGAAATTAAAAACAAAAACAAGTAAAATAAATGTAAAGAGCAGCTAGAAGAACAAAACATCAACACTAAATGTGAAATAAATGTAAACATCCAAGAAGTAGAGGAACTGCACCAATCAGCAAGCAAATTTAATTGTATATTGTAATGCAGTTGTGTCAGTATCTGTGATGGTGGTGCTGATTCCCTGTTATTGCACAGATCAATTTTTTAGATTGTAGATTATGGGAGAAATAGAGGAAGAGGCCTCCTCTTAAAGGTGAACTCCACACATTTTTCAAAATGCCTACATAATCAAATCACTGAAAAGTAAACAAAGTAATTGTAAAGTAACCAGTGAACCTACAACCATCTTCTGAGTGTTTTTATGTCATGTGGATAATGGCATAAAAAGGTGCATCTCAAAAAATATGTTTTCTTTGAAGACTTTCATTATAACAGCTTTAAGAACAACACACATTTACTATAAAGCTAAACATGTGCACAGGAATTAAGTAAGTAGGGGAGAACAAGGCACAAGCAAACACTTTGTGAATGAATCTCAGGAAATCCATTTGATGTGAAAAATAAGAAAAGCATGTTCACTTTGAACTTCTTTAACTACATTACAAAATTGTGTTACATGATGGTTACGATGACGCACAGATGAACACACAGTTGTAACACAAAAATGAAAGTTTTGCAATGCCCATCAGGGCAAGGGGCTCTCTTATCTGAGGAAAGAAGCCCTTCATGATGAAACTTGTATCAATTTGATTATCTGAGGATTTCAGAATGTATTATTTTTATATCATTTTAGTTTTTGCATTACTCAAAAACACTGCAATAAATCAAAGTACAATGCTTTATTTTAAGATGGAATTGAAAACGGGTGTCGGTGCTGGGCTATTTCCCCTTTAGTTCCGTCTTGTGTTGAATGTGTACCAGGGTATCAGTTCTGATCTGGCATTTGTCTTTCTGTCTTGCGTCTAAATCTCAAAAGAAATTAGTTCTCTTCACTTGTGCCTCGATAGCTTCCAGTCAACAGACTGCTTTTGTAATCTGAACAGGAACTGTGAGTGACTAACTGAGAGTAAGTGAGTGAGTGTGGTGTGTGATATACGCCCCGCTGGGCCGCCCACCTCCAGCCGTCCCAGGCCCACGTGAAGGTGATGCACAATCCACAACATAACCATCTCGAGACCCAGGCTGTGCACTCAAATCCACAAGAACTGTCTTCAACTTACATCTTCTACTGCACTAACTGACCTTCAGAAAGGTTGTCATCACCAATTACTCACAAGACCACGGCCCACAGAGCAGTTTCTACAAATTCTGCACGACCCTATCTGCTTTAGTTCTCCATTCTGTGCTTTTGTTTCACCATCAAACAGACAGTTACAGTAGCTCCAGTATCTGGCAGCACTGTCCTCCTTTGATCATTCACATCACAACACCTTAGTCCATCAAAAAGAACAAAGAGGCCATTCTGATCAAAGCTAACCGTGATGGACACTTGTGATCAGATGTTTCTTCTGTGTTTTGACAAATATTGGAAAGTGATTTATGATGACACTAAGAGCAGTGACTGTATAAAGTAAACAGGGTCGCTCAGTTCTCCAAAGGGCCACCTAAAAGCACCTCATCATTAATATACAGGACAACATTAATACGCAGCAATATACTGAGACAAGCCTTTCATTTAATTTATTTATTAATTTCCTGGTCATTAAGTTATTCAAGTTATTTATTTTTCACGGTCAAGAAAAGGGTAGAAAACATAAATTTTAAAGAAAATTACAAAAAGAGCATATACAAGCATATTACATATAATATCAGAACAAGCAGTATTTGGTGTGTCCATCCTTTGCCTTAATTCAGCTTCTATTCTTCTTGCTTGCTTTCAATTTTTCTTGCTTGCTTTCAATTTTTTCACACCTCTAAAGTTCAGTCTTAGAATGTGGTTGCATTTCCTGCTTCTCACAATCCAAGTAATCCATATACATTCAATAATGTGGAGGTCTGGACTCTGGAGTGGCCAGTCCATTGTTTTGAAAACACCAGCAGCTTCTTTGTCCGATTTGCAATTTTTTCCTTTTATTCTTGTTTCCTTTTTTCAGTAACAGCTTTTTGACTGCTATACATCCTTTCAAGCCCATAGTGCTGAAATGTCCTCTCAGTGGAAGGATGAAAAGAAGACCTGTGGAGTGGGGCTTGATTTTCTCCTCTCTCTCAAAGACGAAAGCTTTAAGTACTGCTTATCTAAAGGGGACAGTTTCGGTGGCCTACCAGGTCTCACACGGTTGTTATGAGTCTCATTTGGAAACTCTTTTTTCCCCCTCAGATATTTTTTCATTAATTACGTGTATCTCCTCAGATATATCTCATGAAAAATTAATAACTTGTATTTAATGACCAAGGGTTGTAGTGCAGTACAGAAAAAGGAGAAACTGCAAAAGGAGTGTTTTTTACTTCTACTGGTCCATTCATTGTGGAATGATTTGATATAACAGCAATAAGTAAGAACTGAGCTTAAAGCCTATTAAATATCTCCATAGTGCATGTGTCTCGATAATGCAATGGCTTTCAAACTAAACAGTGATCAGAGATACTTTTTGCCAAATGTCTTGTTTTTAACTTCTTGGGGCCAAGTGCCACAGAGAAATCTGCATCTTTGCATTGCCACCTCATCTCGGAAACAGACTGTGTTTGCATATTTCAGATTATTCACTGTGTTATGCTCCCTCAGTGGCACCAAGGGAGCATAACACATAATTACATAACACACAGATAAACAAATCATAAATTAGAAAAGTGAAAAATGAATATTTGAGCCATCTGCTCCTGGCTCAGTAATCATTAACAGAGTGTGATGAAAGCCAACAGTGGCACCAACATTACGGTACACAAGAGCGAGAACTTGATAACCAGGAAATCTTTAGTTATTATTTACTGGTATAAAATATAAATTGGAGTTTGCTGATATGGCATTGATAGATACCATAGGCAGGAAATTGAGGGCAGGAGGGCAGCTCTGTCCCATTGTGAGAGCTTCCTGTCTTTCCTTCCTTACAGGAAATCAATCAGCCTCTCTAAACACACGCCAGCTCTCATCTCAGCTTTGCCCTCCATTTTTGACAGCAGCGATTCCACTAATTTTCCTAATAATCCTGAAAATAGAACCTTTGCCTTGAAGAGATGCAAAAGTCGTGATTAATCCATTTATGCCCAAAAGCACTTAAAAACGTACAATAAGGAAACTGGTCACAGGTTTTTTCTGTTTGACAGAAATAGTTCATGTTTTATGTCAGGCCACTTTTT